TCTTTCTAGTTTCCTCAGAGGACTTGGGCCTTAGGAACATGTGTTGGGAGAGGGTGCTGCTATGAGTGGAAAGGACTTGAGGCAGAGAGTCAGGTGCCCGTCTATACCAGGTACTGTAGGGGTAGCACCCTTTCCCCCAGTAGAGGGACTCCTCACTCACTGGAATCAGGGTTAGGGTAGCTTGCCTGCAGCAAGAAGACTTGGGCCTTTCTGTGACCTGGGCAGCTGCTTGGCCTTGTGAGCAAAGCTGGAGCACCACTCCTAGGGTATAGGTCCCAAGGCTGCCTGGGTTGGGCTTTGGAGCTTAGCTCGTGCTCCCAAGGGGCCGCTCTCCCTCCAAGAACTCCGATCTAACTCCTTCAGCCCAAAGGAAGGAAGGGCCTGTCCTTGGGCCTGGTCCACTCTGCCAGCCTGCCAGCCTCCAGTGCAGCTGCTCACCAGGCCTGTGCTTTGGGAGTTCAGTTTCTAGCCCGCCCACCTGTGGCCCCTAATGTCCCTGCCTCAGAGAAGCGTGGCTCTGTTTCTGCTGGGGCCCTGTCTTGGTGAGCACCATTCTCCTGTGTTCAGGGCCTGAGTCAAGCCTGATGGCCCAGCCTACAGTTTCTCCTGTACATTTGCATATTACTGTGCAAAATGGTTGCAGACTAGGGAAAAAGGCTGTCAAGGAGGGTTGGGGTGCCAGAGACAGCAGACTTGTTTCAGGGAGCACCGTGTCCCTTAGCCACTCAGAGTCCCAGCTTGCATGTCTGGGACTCGAACGGTGATGTGCCTACCCTCAGAGGCTGTGGTGAGAATGAATGAGTCAACACTTACAAATCCCAGGTCCCTGCCTGGCCCTTGGTGAGCACCAGGAAGAAATGGACACTGCTCACCACTCTAGGTCCCGCTGGCTCAGACGGAGTCTTCTTGCTTCACTGTAGTATGCAAGCCTCTGTTCTGGCAGAGTGCAGACATGCCAGGTAGTTATTCTTCCCAAGTTGCAAGCAGTGCTTTTCATATCCCTTAAGTGGGTCATAGTGAATATGAAAAAACACATGAATAAACGCCTTGTGTGTGGTAACAGTATTGATTGTAATTTTCCATTGCACATGCGTACGTGTGCTCAGCACTGTGTGACCGGTACTCTGTGGGTCTCAGTGAGGTGAATTTGAAACGCTGCTGTCCTGCTGTTCTCAGGCAGTGGAGTCAGGCTTCACCCTGAAAGGTGCCGTGCATCCTCTGCCCCAGGGGAAGTCTTGGCTTCTGTGCTTCTCCATTTCTAACCCTCTTCTGAGTGGGCCTCTGGAGGAAAAAACAAAAGATACCTGCTTCATCTCTCAGAGGAGCTGCTTCTGGTTCTGTAAAGTAGCTGCCTGGAGGAAGGGGCCTCCTCTTGAGCATGCTCAAAGAGCCCTCTCTGTAGTTGATTCTGGCTCCTTTTCTTTCTCTGTTGCTCTTAGAAGCATACCTTCCCACACTCCCTGGGATCCTTAGGAAATGGCTGGGTTTCCCAGTTCCCCTGCTTGGGCTTGGGTGGGGCAGAGGGCCCTCAGGTGGTGAGGCTGCTGTACCAGGATTGTTCTAATCCAGACAGGTCACTGTGGCTGGCAGATGCCCTGGTTACAGTGCACCAGGGCTCCGGGCTCTTGTCAGCTTGCCAGCAGAGGACAGGTAGGAAAGCTAGGCTTTCAGCAGGCTGTCTCCCTCTTTGAAGAAATGCCCTTATCTTGTGCCCTGCTGTTTGCTCCTTTCCTGTGTAAGTGCCTCCAGCCTGTAGCATTCTTCTGTCCTAGCTGGGCACTGTGGGAACCAGGAGAGGACTGGAGGCGCCACATCGATGGAAGACTGGGCATCCTGAGCCTCCAGCTATGCGACAGCCATTTCTTTTTGGGGGAACACGTAAAAGTAGGTGAAGCTGAGCCTCTCAAGAGGCCTGGATTCCTAACCTGGAGGTGCAGAACTAGGGCAGGGAGCTTGTGGGAGCTGGTTCCCTGCTGACAGTGTCAGAGGCTGCTGTTCTCACTGCCAGATTTGGGTTACAGCCTAGATCTTTGCCCTAGCTCTCGCAGCATACAGTTGGGGCTAGCTGAAACCTTTCTTCTGTCCTCGAGGACAGACTGCCTGGACTGAGAGAGCAGATGGGCGTGTCCTGCTCCCAGACAGAGGCAACAGGGGAGGGGAGAGGCACTGGCTGGAACATGGATTATCTGGAAGCCAGACTGCGGTTGAGTGTGCTTCAGCTTTGTGCGTGTGGGAGACAAAGTGGAGTGCAAAGCGGAGAAGGGTCTCGCTCCAGAGCCAGGGACCTGAACTCAAACCCTGACATGGCTGCTAATTCTTAGCATCATGACCCTAGATGAGTTACATAGCTTTTTGGGCGGCTGCTTCCTTGTCTGTATGATAGAGACGACGGTGACACCTGCCTCGCAGGGTTCTGGTGGTGTTCAGTGGGAGGATACAGGCACAGGCCACAGGGAAGTGTGGGTGAGTGGCATTGCCACCGACCTATGGTAATACTGCTGCTTGCTCTCCTGGGTGGCACTGTTGAAACCTGGAAAGAGCTGCTTGCTTACTTTGGTGGAGTTTTTTGTTTTATTTTGTTTTTTGGGTTGTTTGTTTGTTTGTTTTGAGACAAGGTCTTGCTGTGTAGCTCTGCCTTGAATTCACTATGTAGCACAGGCTGGCCTTGAACTCACAGAAGTCCTCCTGCCTCAGCCTCCTACCCAATCCATGCTGGGATTACAGGCCTGTGCCACCACACCTGGCTTAAGAAGTGCTTTCTTAGCAGGTTGCCAGTGCATACCTGGACCTGCTCTCCAAGAGCACTGGTTGGAAGCTCAACAGAAATTGTTTGTTTGTTTGTTTGTTTTGTTAGTTTGAGAAAGCATTTCACTATATAGTCCAGGCTGGCCTTGAACTCAGGGTGATCCTACCGCCTCAGCCTCCTGAGTGCTGGGATTACAGGAGTGCAACACCACACTAGGCTACAGTACAGTTTTAAAGGGTAATACTAGGTTGTTACACTGCTGGTGGGAATGTCAAATGGTATAGCCACTTGGGGAACTCTGCAGTTTATCACAAAGTTAAATGTACAGTTCCCATATGACCCAGAAGCTCCACTTCTAGGCAACCACCTAAGAGAAATGAAAGCATGTCTGTGTCCATCCAGACACAGGTGTGCGACTGCCCACAGCAGCATTATTCACAATAGCCCCAAAGTGGAAACAGTCCAAGTGTGCCATCCGCGATGAATGGATAAACAAAACGTGGTCTGTCCGTGTAATGGACTGCTGTTCAGCCCTGAGAAGGACAAAGTGGGAACACATGCTGCATCATGGGAGAACCTTCACAGTGTGTTAAAGGAGGCTACAGTGGCAGCCAGACATAAATGGGTATTGAATGATTCCGTTTACACGAAGGACTCAGAACAGGTAAACCATCGAGGCAGAAAGCAGACTGCTGGCTGGGAGGAGGGAAATGACTGCTGATAGTCCTGGGTTTTTAGAGCGGTGAAGAGAATGATCTGCAGTTGGTTGTTGTACAACTCTGAAAATGCTAAAAGCTATTGAATTGTACTTTGTAAATAGGTAAATTGGTATGCGAATTATATCTTAATAAAACCATTATTGAAAAGAAGAGTTAATACTGCGGCTAGCTAAGAATGAGATCATCTAATTTTGGAACGGAGAGTTTCTTCCCACTTCACTGGAAGCTCCATGAGTGGATTGGCCTCTGCAGTCAGAGCTTTCTCCTCTTGTGTGGCTTGTGTCTGTCCCGCTTGCCCTCTTTTCTGTGTGTGCAGTAAGATTGATCAGGTAATGTCTGCCTCATTGTGGGTATTTTAAAGGGGCCATGGCAGAGGTTGCGGTTGCAAAGGCCTGGCACATCTGTTGTAAATGAATATTAACTTCCTGCAGTCCTGGCTTACTTTACGTCTTTGCCTTCTTTAACACTTCTGACGCCCTTTGTGGAAGGAGATAGACCCTATAATGGCTTGTGTTGAGCTGTCTCCCCCAGAGCCCCACGCAGTCATAGGTGGGGCTTTTTCAGAGGTCACTGTTTGTGTGATTGATTCATGGGAATGGGACCAAGGAAGCAGCAGGCTCTCTGGTAGCTTCCTAGAGAAGCTGGTGGCTGTTCCAGAGGAGGATGAAGTTGTAGCCTACCCTCCTGTAGCTCCAGTGCCCAGAGACGGTAGGCTGTGCTTCCCTGTGAGAACCAGTGGTGCAGATGGCCTTAAGGACACATCTCTAGGGTCCTAGCACATGGGAGCTGCTGTGCCCTGTCAACCTTCTCAGAGCATCAGTATCTGGCAGAATGTAAGCCAGAGGGTACAAGGCTGACAGATCATCTTTGGAAAGGTTCTCTTGTCTAGCCCTTCATCCGTGTGAATTTCTTAAAGTCATCATTTTCTGTTTGGTTTTTTGTCTCTAATTTTAGTTAACAGCTTTTGCTGTTTTTTGTTTTGTTTTTAAAAATACTGCTTGTTAAGACAGAGCTGGCCCAGGAGCTTCTGCAGAGCTCTCCAAGCCCTGGGCAGTTGCAGGTAGGCCAACCCTTACAGGGTGTCTGGGTCTGGCCCCCAGCCTGGTAGTTGGGGATCAAAGATGTGGCTCCATTTTGGCCTACTCCTCACATCTCAGAATAACTGTGCTATTTTGAATCACCTCCTAGAGCTTTTTCTCAGTGCTCTCTTGGATCAGCAGCCCCTCTGGGATCAGGATCTTGGCGGCCTCTGTCTCCCTAGCTGTCCTCACTGAGCTGTCCTCTTCCTTCCTCCCTCCCCTGCCTCTTCCTCTGGTGCAGACTGGGATATTGTTTTCCAAGTAGGAAGTGAAATCCAGACATTGTTCTCTGAGGAACCTGGCCTGCCCCAGTCCTCCCAGGGGAGGGATGGAAAGCAGAGCTGCAAGGGCAGGGTGGGGAAAGGCTTGGACATGACTGGGTGTTGTGGACCTGCTACTATCCCATGCTGCCACCTTCCTGCTGCCTCTGAGTGACTGTTCGTCTTGTTCTTGCAGCCTACCACCCTCCCACAGGGCACCATCAACATGAACCAGTGCACGGATGTGGTGGATGGGGAGGGCCGCACCAGCCAGAAGTTCTCCCTGTGCATCCTGACACCTGAGAAGGAGCATTTCATCAGAGCAGAAACTAAAGAGATCATCAGCGGGTGAGTGCTCGTGCTGTGGGAGGAGGCGCTGCCAGGCAACCTGCCTGCCACGGGCCCTGTGTGCTGCTGATTCAGACACACCATACCTCCTCCCTCTCCAGGCGGCTCTTCCGCTGAGCACCCCCCCCCCCTTAGTGCTGCCACGAGCCTGCCTGCCAGCCTGCATTGCCGTGCTTCATCCCGAAAACTCTGCCTCCTTCCAGGGCCAGCATCTTCAGGCCTCTTCGTAGCCCTCCTACCTCCACTCGCAGCACACTCCAACCCGCCTGTCCCTTGGCCACAGGGAAGGGCAGCCCACGAAGCATACCTGCCCTCACCCCCCCCCGCCGTAACCGTGTCCCCAACAGTCAGACCCATGCTGCTTGGTGGCTCGAGGCCCTTCGCAGCTCTGCAGTCCAGCCTGACCCTGCGGCGCACCCCACTGCCGTGTCTCCATGGGGCTAAGCCTGTAGCCTTACTCAGCGCTGCTCCCTGCAGAGTGACCTGTCTTTCCTCCAGGCTGTCCGCAGTCAGCCTGCATGTCAGGCCTTAGAGCACGTCCCATGATCCGTGTTACTCAAATGCGTGCACGTCTTCCTCAGGGAGGGCCCTTGAGAGCGGAGGTGTGTCTCAGCCATATCCCCAGGGCCTCGCACATGAGCTGCACCGCTGCAGAGACTGGTTTCTTTGAATGGGAACAGTGGACAAGCTTGCTCATGCTGCTCCTCTGCGGAGTTTTAGCAGAAGGCCTGCCAGCTGAAGGGTGAGCCCAGGTTTCAAGCTAGGTGACAGTCACAGGGGATAAGAGCTCCATATTCCTGAGTTTGAGAGAGCTTATGGTCCAGCAATAGGGCATTCGCTACCCACACCCTGCTGCCTGGGCCATGGTGAAAAACCGTATGTGGTCGGTGTAGGTAGGCAGGCTCAGCAGGCCTGGGTGGCCTCAAGGAGTGGGTCTTGGAGACTCCCACTCATTCTTTACAGTTTGAAGGAGGCAAGTGCATCTAAAGAAGCTTTGGAAGAAAGCAGAACTGAGGGGCTGATGAGAACTGGCTGGCAGCTGCAGGGCAGGATAGAGGGGAGACAGAGGGTTCTTTGGTTTGAGCTCAGGGGTGCTCCTTGGAGCACCACCTTGCTTTCCTGTCTCAGCCACAGCCTGGCCCAAACTGAGAGGAGGCCAGAGCGTGAGGACAAGGGCACCCCTGATGGGCGGGGGAGCACTTTGTGTCTTTCCCTAACCCTAACCGAGAACCATGGGAGTTACGGTCATCTAGGGCTTCTAAAGAACCCTTACTCTGCACTGAGAAGCCCGAGGGCCTGGAAGCAGGGCGGCTGCCAGAGACATCCTCCAGGTGTGAGTGGGCATCTGCGCTTCTGGCTCACACCTCCTTCTGCTGCCTGGCCCGGCCAGATGAACCAACCCAGATGGATCCCCTGGGGAACCTCACCTTCCCAGCCTGGGACCCAGGGGAGCATGGAGAAAGGAGTCTGAGTCCCCAGTGCAGTGGGGTGTCTGGATCTGCGTTAGTGACATGCTAATTAAAGGTGATGTTCAGTATTTGGTCAGTCCTTCAGCAGTCAGTCCAGGGTCCTTGCTCCATCCTGAGCCCTAGCCCCACTCTTGGTCATGCTCTGTTCTCTCTTCTGTCAGCAGGCGCTGGCCTGCCATTTCCACATACTTCTCCGTCACCTCCACCTACTGTCCATTGTGGGGAGAGAGTTGGGGAGCCATGGTACCACCAATCCCATGTCCATACTCACCTCTCTCCTCTCTTTACTGGGTTTATTAATATTTGTAGCACATTTGGATAGCATTAGGCACTTCCTGTTGGGCTTCCGTGGGAAATGCAAGTGCAGAAGGCACCTCCTGTCGTCTGTCCCTGATCTGCCATCTGTAACTCCAGCCTCATAGCATCACAGGATGCTGGGTGCACAACCCAGGATGCTGGTGCATGCCTGGGCAGGCCAGGTTCCTCTTCCCAGCCTTCTAAGCTCTGGGGTGCTGAGCCCACCCAGGGGAACTCAGCAGCTCTGTTCAGTGCTTAGTCAGTGTGTGGCCTGGCCAACTCGCACTCTTCCCTCGAGGCCCACCCCACATAGCTCCCCAGTGTGGCCAGGGGGTAGTACTGGGCATCTAGAAGGTTCTGCACTCCCACCATGCTCCCCATGTACGTGGGGCCCTGTGAGAGCGCAGCAGTCTTGACCTGGGAGTCTGGTACAGGTGCAGAAGTAGCCTCCCACAGGCATAGGTCCTCAGAGTGGTTGGCCGCAGTGTCAGCCACTGCGGCGGACAAGAGGGGTGAGCAGGGCAGACTGCTCAGGGCCCTGCGGAAGGCCGCTCCTCTCCTGGTCTTGAAGGTGCAGTTGTGCCATCCTTTGTTGCTTAGAGGTCACAGAGAGATGACCTCAGGACCTGTGTCTCTGACAGCACGGGCCTTTTTCTATGTTCTAGGCAAGTTGAAGGGCTATGGGCTAAGCCGCAGTGAGGGTAGCCCTTGACTCGGTCACTGTGCTTCCCTGCACCAAGCCGGCTTCCACAGTCAGCTGTCAATGGCACAGCAATCCTGAGGCTGTCCCAGAGAGCCTCTAACTCTGACCCACCTAGCTTCCCTTCCCGCAGCACATCAATTAAAGAAGCACTTCAGGAAGCCCCTCTCCTGCCCCAGGAATGCTGCTGGGTACAGGGTCAGCCAGGCTGTGGCAGTGTACCCTTACCATCACCACACACAGCATTGACCTTGGCGCTCTAGGAAGGTCTAGGCCAGTGTGTCCTAAAGTTTCTTCCCCTATTGAGAGAAGACTAGGGTTGTCTTGCCCTTCCTTCCCTCTGTACCTCCCACCCCTCTTCCTCTAGACTGGAATGAAGCTGTAGCCAGGCATATGATTTTTATTTGCTTAGTCCTTATAAAATTTCCCACACTAGGAGAGGCATGTTCATGCCATAACCTGATCTAGCACCTGGTTTCAAAATGAGACAGGCCAAGGATATAGCTCAGCGACACAGTGTCTGCCTGGCAAGTGCGAGGTCCAGAGTTCGATTCCCAGTACCAAAAAACAACCAACCAAAAAAAGAGACAAACCCCAGTGGGGGCTTCAAGCACCCAAGGCTGTGATCAGATAGTAGCAGAGTCAAATCTGGGGTCCCAGCCACCTACCCACAGCCTCCCTATGGCTTTCCCAGTCCTCGTCTGGAGATACTCTTCAGCACAGGAGCCCTGGTAGGCGTCCTCGGCTACTGCTGTTTGACCCTCCCCAAAGCCAGCGTGCTCGGCCCTCTCCCTGTTCAGGAGGTGGTCTGGAAGGTCAGCTGCTCACGTCTGAGGTGATCCAACATAGGAAACTGCTGACACCATTCCTGCTTTCCTCAGCATATGCTTCAGCGATCCTAAAGGGCTCCTAGCCACGCCCATCCGAGTACATGCAGATGTACTCTGTGTGGGCAGTTCTAGAGCCAAGCTGAAACCCAGCCGATCAACCAGTAATGGGAGAGCGATGTGTCTGTGTGCCCCAGGCCTGTGGCCAGGCCTGCCTGTTTGCCACAGTGGAGCCTACATTGTGTCCTAAGCCTGCCGTGGCCACGGCAAGATCCTTGTCTGGATCTGGTCCTGGCACAGCCTCTGCTTTTAACCTGTCCATTGAACATGTTCTGGGCCAGCTGTGGTGTCTCTCATTTGGCGGGGTGCCCTGCCCTGCTCAGTGCCGGAGGCCTGGCCAGTAGTTTAGTTCCTAGGGTCTGGGCCACCCCAGCAAGAGTTACGGTTATGGTTCCTGAGGGTCTTACCTGGTGCTCCGTCTGCTCCCCTCTCCACAGGTGGCTGGAAATGCTCATGATCTATCCCAGGACCAACAAGCAGAACCAGAAGAAGAAACGGAAAGTGGAGCCACCCACCCCACAGGTAGGCCGTGGCCTTGCCAGGTGGGCTCCCCTCTGGAGCCTGGGAAGAAGTGAGGGTGCCGAGAGGCTGGAAAATAGGAAAGAGGTCAGGCCAGGGCTAAGGCAGTCGTGTCCTGCACGCTCCCTCCTTCCTCCCGCCTCCATCCGCTATGAGTGTGTCCTCTAGCCATCCTGTGGGCCTCTGGGGAGGGAAGAGTGGGAGGAGGGATTTCCTGCACACACACCTCTGTTGCTACAGCTAGAGAGAGTCCTGGGGTGTCCCTGTGTAGTCAGGGGCTTGGAGGATCCCTTCAGATCTAGGCCTGGGGAAATGAGGCTGATCCTGAGCCTTGGACCTGGCAAAATGGGCCTTTTTTGGGGGACCAGGGGAAGCAAGAGTCTCGGGTTGGTCTCTAAATTGCCCAGACTGGGCTCAAACTTGCAATCCTGCGTCACCCTCCCAGAGTGCTGGGATTACAGGTTTGTGCCGCCATACTTAACTTATAATAGGCTTCTAATTGCTAGGGCTATTGTCAGTGTTAAAGTACACATTGCATCCATCATGAGTATTTAATAAATGCTCACCCTTTCCCCTTTTCTACAAGTGTTAGCCCTCACCAAATACTTTTTCCTTTGTTGGATTGAACCTCCCAGCCCCTTGAGAATGAACAGATTGAGAGGGGCTCCCTTAAGTGTCCCAAGGTGAAAGGCCTGGTAGAATTGAAGAGAGCCAGGTGAAGGTGGAACCCTGTCGCCCCTAGGACTGGGCGGTCTTCACTGGCTGCTTGCCTCAGAGGGCTTTGGAGGCCAGCAGTGGTCAGGAGCAGGTGCATGTCAGTGGGCCTATCCTCCATCAACAGGCATCCACCTCTATCTTATCCTTCCTCCGAGGAGTCCCGGGGGCACCAAGTCAGCATCCCCTAGAAGGGAGATGTTCCTGATTAGAAGTCTACAAAAATTACAGTCAGAGTGCTTCTTGGAGACTGAAAATGGAGCTTCCTGCTGGGGAACAGCAGTTCGTAAACAAATCTTCCAAAGCTGCCTGTTGTGAGAAAAAAATGCGTAGGCAGAAGAACAGTGTTTGGGGTTCCTCCACATTTCCATGGTGACGCCTTGGAAACAGTGCAGGGCAGAGCTGCCTCTAAGTAAGGTAACTTCGTTTACAGGAGACGCCTTGGGCCAGGGCAGGGTATCTGGTGGTATCCCCTTGCCTGTGACCCCATACTGCAAAGGGCTGCTGCCCAAGACCAGGCTTTCCCTTTGTGGTTGGTAGAAGAAGCCGTATGACGCCAGGGTAGAGAGGAAGGTCACCCCTGTCCCTGAGCCATGTCTCTTAGACTGGATGGCATTTCCAGAAAGGTAGGTGTAGGGCCTGGGACCTGGGCCATCCCAGCGTCCTCTTCTGAGTCCTCTCCTAAGCTGGTCTGGTAGGGATTCTCTTCTGCCTCTTGATCGCTAGAACACCCTATTTGAGGCCATTGGTTTCCAAAACTGAATGTTCATCAGAAGCTGTCTCCCCCAGGCAACGTGGGCCTCTGCAGAGGAGAGATGCTGGTTGCATTTAGGTCACAGTCCCTGGGGAGACCTACCTCTGGCAGCCTGATTCTGATAGCACTCAGATGGCCCAGGCTGGGCTGTGGAGCCTTAAGCCTTTGGGGCCTCCACAGGGGCAAGAACCTGGGGTCCTATACCTGGCTCTTTCTCCACAGCTATCTGCAGGCCCAGGAACATTTCACATTAAGGTATGGAGGGCTGAAGCCTCAGTCTCTGCTGAGTCCAGTTATACTCAGTTATACTCAGCCTCTGCTCTGGAGATGCACAAATAGAGGAGCTGAGAGTCTCAGGTCTTGAAGGCGGAAATGTGGGTCAGACCACAGATAGCAGTCTGGAGAGGGATCCTGACAGAGCCCAAGGTAGGGAGAAGAGACAGGCCCAGTCCTGAGCAGAACCCAACAGCCATGATTTGAGAAGTGCAGGTTCCTCATGTGGCTAAGAAAGAGCGAGCCTGGGACAGGGGGAAGGACAAACCTACCACAAGTATGACCAGATCAGGAGTGCAGACTCTAGAGGCCTGTTAGCCAGCTGGATCCTCCTGTCTCCCACCCTGGGCTCTCCGCCCTTTGCAGAGACCTGTAAAGCAGCCGACCTGTCTGTGAGCCTACCACCACCACCAATGACAACAACCTGTGCACATGCTGCATGGCTGCTTCTCCTTCCCAGGAATCTTATTTTCTGTGGGGGTGTCAGTGACCCCTACTCAGGTCAGAGATCTCCATTCCCACTGGGTTCTCTGCTCCATTTTCGTGCCAGGGAAGAGAGAGGCCTTCTCTGACACCCCTCCGGAGAGAGGGGCCCATATCCTATTTCTCTTGCTTTGAAACTTTCTCAGCAGCTGATGAACAGCACAGACTTCAGCTGGGCACTGACAGCTGTGAACTTCCCATCCAAGAAATGTTACACAGAAAACCCAGGCACTTTATTCCTTCCTCAGACCTGGGCTGATTCTATAGTGTGAGCCCAGTCCTACACTGTGGGAATGGAAGGGTCTCTGTGGCCATATTCAGCCCAACCAGATGTCTCTACCTACTCAGAAGAAGAGTGTCTTTGCCTAGAGATGGGCTTCCCCACCATCTACTGAGGGTGGTGTGCTGGCTGAGGGGCAGGGTAGTCCTGGGGATGGTCTCCACATGTCATCTGAGACCTTCGGAAACTGTCAGGAGAATCCTGCATTACATCTCTTACTTCGAAGAACCTGAAGCTGACTTCTTTCAAGCAGTCTCAAGCCTGGGAGTCGGTCAGCAGTGACTCTGAGACAAATAGGCCGTCGGGTATAGGTCTTGGGCCTGGAGAAGAGCCTCCCGGCTTGATCTCATCCAGTGCCCTGCCCCTCCCCAGCCTTCTTGTTCTGGTGCACATAGTTATTTGGATCCCCAAGCTGCCCTTTCTGGCCACTCATATGAAAAGGCACTACCTCCACTTGTCCTTGAAGTGCTCCTGCCGGTGTGGTGAGCTTGAATAATACAGTGCCTGGCCTGGCTGTGAACAGATAGAACAGATAACCTGGCGACCGTCTTAGGTCTGCGCATGTATACAAACATGTACACTACCCGGTCATCTGTGACCCTCATCAGGGGCCCAGTCCAAAGGCAGCCCAAGAGGAATTTGAGAAAATGAGTCCAGGCCACCGGGATGGGAAGGCAGAGTGGATATTTGTGTGTGTCCTGTGTTAGGCGAGCTAAGACATGCCTCGCTTTTGAGAGAGGCCAAAGCCATCCTGTTGGCTGCTTCCTTCTCCAGCCAAATGGTTGGACCAGATAGAAGCTGGCTGTGCAAGACAGGTGGGGATAGCAGCCTTGCTGTGTTCGTTAGCTCTACATTACATGACAGTACCTGAGAAAACTTAAAGGAAGAAAAGGTTTCAGTCCGTTGTCTTGCTGGTCCCGCTGTTTCTAAGCCCATGATGAGAGCCCACATCGCGGCTAGGAGTAAGTAGTAGGACAAAGCTGCTTACCGCATGTGGCCAGGCAGCAGGAGGGGCCCCTCAAAGGTATCCTTCATGTGACTGGCTCATCCAACTGGGCCCCGCCTCTTAAAGGTTCCACCACCTCCCATAGCACTGCTGGCTGGGGACCAAGCCTTTAAAACGGAAGCCTGTGGGGGGTATTCCAGATTCAAAGCATAGGATGAGTCTCGTCAGGGCTGTGTTTGTGGAGTTCAGTTCTCTGCATATTTAAGAGCCAGGTACCCTGCATCTGCCTTGGTAGCTGTCCTGCACATGCTTGGTTTGGGGGCAGCACCACTTCTTTACCCTGGGGAATAGGAATTGACACCATTTCCACTCAGACTCCTCCCTTGGTTCCAGCCTGTGCAGGAGAGCGCGTTTGCACACAGGCACGTGTGAGCGCGTGCAGGAGAGCGCATTTGCACAC